GACACTAATAGTTTCTAGAAAAAAATGCGAATTTTAATTAATAAAAATGTTTTGAAGGGAGAATTTTGTCTAATCTAGTCTCTCTTCTTTTTTTTTATCCAATCTTACTTCATTCATTAAACTTTCCACAATACAAGGAGAGAGGGAATTAGGCATCCTCTAGACATATTACAACATAATTGAAATGCAATTAAAATTAAGATAGATATTTCATCGCGAAAGATGGACAGTGGATTCAAGGCATGTCTTGGATGCGTCAAGAGAGTCTTCGCAACAAAGCCGGAAAGTCTCAGATTGGTCACTTTACATTGTGACTTTGAAGATCCCGGCATAAGACTCGGGAATTCGACCATTCTCCAAGAGAGGGTAGAAGGTGGAATTGAACTCTTCCACCGGGAGTAGATTACAGGATTTGAGAATCCAGAAAACTTTGGCCCTCTCATACGTGGAGATATAAATCTCAACTCTTGATGAAATGAAACACAGTGAAGCCGGATTTGTCTCTTCAGACTCGATTTGGAGGACGAAGATTTTAACGAACTCTGTATTTTGAAAAAAAAAATGCGGTAGCATTGGTCAAAAACCAGATTTGCATAGAATTAACGAATTGTTGCTGTTTCTAGACCTTTTTCCAGCATATGATACTGGCCTTTAACAGGCTCACTATTTCCTTCTCATGAAAGGGGAGAACGATGGTATGGCGGCGGTGAGATGTTCTCCGACCTCAGAAGTCGCGAAGGTGAAGCTCTCATGTCGCGGTAAGCCTCCATCGGAACAAGCCGGTTGACTGTTTGCACAGTCTCTCACAACCGGAGCAGCCGATGCATATCTTCGAGATTGTCTGTAGATCTCACTCTGGATTCTCGGCAAGATGGAGATTTTCGCAGTCCCCGGAGCGAAATTGGAAGCCGGCGACTGAGAAGGAGGCGGTATAGATCTAACGATGCCCACGGTGTAAGTGCTGGAGAGATTTACCGCAAGAGGAGATCTCGTCGGCGGGGAACAACGAGCCAAGAACGGAGCTGCATCCGAAGAGCTCCGGCCGACTAAGATGGCGAACAGTGGAGGGGATGGGAAGCGTGAGTCCGGAGGGTCTGGGGGATCCGGTGGGCGAAGAGCACCGTCGCCAGGATCTTCCACCACCAAGCAAGGAAGTTGAGCAGTTCGGAGTGGATTGTTGCCGCGGAGGGTGAAGGCGGGGAAACAATCCTCAGTCCCGAGACGAAAACCGCTGGCAGAGATTGGAGCCGGGTCTCACTGGTCAAGGACGACAAGAGCAGTACCGGATAGGAGTAATGTGATGTAAGGTCGCCGGACGAACATCGGCGGGAGAGGCTCATTCTCGTCAAGCGGCTGTCTCGGGAAACGCACCTAGGAGAGATTCACTTTAAGGCGAACCTAGTCTCTCTTCACTTTTCCTTTTCCATTATTGAGGTAGATCTCTTATATATTATTTGAGAAGTGATTTTGTGGAGTTTGCTTATGTGTCAATTCCACATTCATTCTCACCAAATAAATATGACATGACATCTTAATATTATGACATGGTAAAATTATAGCTCAATAGAAAACATAAAACGTTTGAAAAATAAAAAATCGTTTT